CCATTCTCTCTCTCTCTCTCTCTCTCTCTCTCTCTCTCTCTCTCTCTCTCATATCACCACAACCCAAAAGATTTAAATTGTATCGACGTGAGTATATAAAACTTAATCTCAGCCCCAATTTCTCTCTCTTTGTCTATATATATATATTATCTCTCTCTCTCTCTCAATTTCTCCTTGATTTTCTGCCTCCTAATCTCTTTTCACCAGTCTGCCTCCCCGACCCCCTTCCCCAAGTAAACCAAACAAGCAAATCAACAGACAAACGAAGAGTGACTCACCAACTGCTGGAGCTGACTGCACGAGTCACATCTACAGGCCGCCGGGTGCACGTCCAGGACGTTCTTGCTGAGGAGCAGCTTGAGACTCCTGCCGTGGTGCCTGATAGACCTCTTCCAATCCTTGGCCGACTCCCTGCCCGACACGGCCTGGAACTCGTTCGGGGTGTACCACTTCCCTCCCTGCTCAATACACTTCCCTTTGCTTCCCTGGTACAGCTTGGACATGTACATGAGGCCCCGGTTGTCTCCGCACTCCACCTGGAGACAGATGTCGTTGTGGCGGAACTCTGGGGTGATATCCTCGTCCGAGCAGTTGTTCAAGTTGACCACAGTACTCCCCACGCGGTAGTTTTTCGGCCCCGTCTGCATGAAGCCGGTGTGCATCTGTTCCGTCTCGCCCTGGTCGGAACATGCGTCATCATCCACGCTGCTGCTGTTGCTGCTACTGCTGCTGCTGTTGCTAACAGCAGCAGCACCACCAGGCAGCAGGTTGCTGTTGCTGTTGCTGCCTCCTCCTCCTCCTCCTCCTCCTGTCACAAGGCCAGAGGAGTTTGGTGAGGAGGAATCACGGGTAGAACTTCGGGTAATCCCTGATTCAAGAGCCTGGAGTTCGCTTCTCGTAACGGGCCCAGTTCCTCCTTCCAAGCCCGAAGACACCTTCTGTCCGAGCGCGGTGTTGGTCTCAACATTATCCTCCACTTCAGTATCCTCGCTGACCACAGGAGAGGGTGTTGCAGCGACCTCCAGACTGCTCCCTGCTGCTGCAGAAGCTGCAGTCTTACTCGCCCTCTTAGGCCGGGCCTTCCCACGACGGGGTCTATTTCTCATGACGGCGCCGTAAGTTCGAGTATTTTTCCAAGTCCGACGCCGTAGATCGGCGCTATAGCTCGCAAGTCGCGGACTCGGCGAATAGAGGAAAACTCAGTTACGGCTCCGTAACTCTTCCAACTGAAGGGTAGAATCCAAAATGAGCTTGTTTGAAATGTATGAACAGTATCCAAGACGCCCCCTTTGCATAAGAGCGTACGGGTAGTATTCCAAAAGAGCGAGTTCAAGTTGATTTAATCCAGAAATAATGAGTACGAGTTGCGTCGTATATCCAAATGAGCGGAGTCGTAGAATACAGGAACAAAGAGAAAGAGCATTCGGTTACGGAAGCGAGCCTTCTCTGTTCCCAGTCCGGTGTAGTATTCGTAAGTATCCAAAATGAGCGAAGAACAAGTTGACTAATCCACTAGGGTTATTCCGACGAGGAGAGTCGACAGTTCTTTATCTCAGCGCTCGGGGCTTCGTGCTAGTCAATCCGCTAAAACACGCCGCACACACAAGCGGCATAAGTGGAACAGCATTCCTCTCACACACGCGGAGAGGGAAAAATCTCTAATTTACTCCAGGGATTGATTACAGCTGCTGTATATCTCACGACTTGTTCACAATTTCACCTCTCGCTGTGGAGGTCCCCGCGTCTAAATCGGTGGTAGCAGCGGTTGGAGGGGAATAAACAACGCAGTTGACTGCATGCGGCAGACTACTTTAATACAGTAGTCGTTGTTGTTGTTACTGCTGCGTCACAAGTTGATAGGTGTGGGTCGCCACATGTTCGCTGTCTGGTGCACTGTCATTAATCCAATGGTGGAGGAAATAAAAGCGGGCTAAGAGTGACCATCAGTGACCGCTGGTGATCAAGGAGAGAATCCAGCGTGCGAGAGACGAACGTAGTGGTGGTGGTGGTTGGCGGAGGGTGGGGCTAGCTAGCTAGCTAGGTTAGGACGAACAAGAGCGAGGGTCTTATCCCTTGTCTGTGTTCTTTCACACTGTAGAAACCGCGCGCATATTACTTGCAGTGGTAGAGTAGAGTACTTAGCGCGGTAATTGCTATCCGGCCAATGACGGCTACGGACGATTGATTGATGCTGGGGAAGAAACAAACACGCCGGTCACAGGGCGGGGAGAGACGGGCTGTAAGAGGAGGGGGGAGGGGGTG